CTGCAGAACTCTGGCGCAGGGCAATACTCTGCAGCTCTGTTACGGCTGACGACGACGCTGGTGAGGCTGGAACATGCCAGCACACGTACGCACGCACACACACACGCACACGCGCGCGCGCGCGCACACGCACACACACACGCACACACGAGGATGGCAAGAAGCGTGCAGGCGAAAGCGCCATCGAGTCACCTGGGCCACAGGGGGCGGCACTCGCAGCGAGGTCCCCGGCAGGCGAGTCCCGAGCCGGACAGCCCCCTGCCGTGGAACCGCGCACGACACGCATGGTACAAACCAATAAAATAATACAATGGAACACCGAGACGAAGGAGGAGATACCCCTGCACGGGCGCAGCCGGTACAACGCCCTGACCTTGTTCTAGTTATTTTTCCTATCATCTTTATTGATATGGCGGACGGGGATCCATGCAGACAGCGTCCCCCTCATGCAATTCTCAGACCGACGATAAAGAGTTTATGAGTCAGCAGACAGCGTACCGGAGCAAAGACGCCGAGCCGCGGCAGCAAATGCATTAATTACGTCACATAAATGTCAAGGTTCTGGAGTTTGGGGCAGTTCAATCAGAGGCCATCCCGCCTGCGCGTGCGCACGCAGACCTCATCCCTATGTATTTCACGTACTAATAAGGACAATAATAAGGAACTAAACTGGGTGGAGACGGCGTCAGGTGGCCGGTGCTTGGACGAATACTAAACCGACTCGAAAATAAAACCAAAAGGCAACACAAACAAAAGGTCAAGAGAACGAATGTCACTGATAATCAAAATGGCCTCGCTAGACTATTATCACTGCAGCTGTAATTGCATGCATGTCGAATCACAACTGGAACTTAAGGAAATGTAATAAAATGGAACTCCATAATAAATCTTATAATGTAGAACCGCTGTATGTACTTGAAAAATATTCACAGGTATTAGCAGATTTCCGAGTGTTCTGAGAGTTCGGAGCTCTCGTAAATAAAAAACGCTATAATTTCGCCTATGTCAATGGCATTTCGTGCATTGCTTAGGGTAGTGTCACATTAGTTTAGATCAGGAACTGTTAGCAGGTGCCTCTACGAAATGACGACTATAGGTGAACAGGTGCTCTAAAACTGTATGCTAACTATTGTTAATACAAGCTGGAGATAAAAGCTAGAATTAGCCTCGAAAAGGTAGATTATAGGGGTAAGTAGCAAGGTGGCACTATAATCAATTCAGGGGCCATTAGTTGGTGTACAAGGAGGGCCTATATGTCTAAAAAATACTAATAGCAAATGTACCCTTGGCTGAGTTGGGACAGAGGGAGTTGCTCTATAGTGCAACATGGAATCAAGGTGAAAGGGTAATAGCAAACTAGACCAGGAACGCAACATTTATGAGCGGTTGTCCTTTTTAGGAAGACGGTTCATTAGGCAATGCATGAACTGCTAACAGAGACGAAATGAAGAAAAAGTTATGCAGTTCTGGTCACCTTCGATGGATGACAGAGTCATGGAGAAAAGGACAATCAGTCACTGCAACCGTGTACGGTAATGGGGATACTGGAGCGACTTGATGGTTGTTTGTGAAACTATTGTTTTGCCAGTGCAACCAAAGGTGGATAGAATTCTGTTCTAGAAAGTCATTAAGTAGCGAATAAGAAGGAAGTCGAGAAGGTAGAGATGGACTGAACTTGCTTCCGAAGAGCAACACATTGAGCAGCGAAAAGCAAAAGTTGCCCTGAACACTGGCACCGAAACAATAACAGTAGTGCAATGGTAATTAAGGGAGCAGAAACTCCTGCGGGAGGGAAGTGGCACAAAAACAGTAATACTGGATCAGACTAGACGCAACCGAATGCTACTACGACTGCATGGAATGCTAGGCCAGTTCTACAGTTTTACTGAGATTCCCAAACCCTTTCCAGCAGTGTAAACAACGCCCGGTACCAAGTTGTCAGTCGCATACAGTAATTGTTCTTCAAGGTACGGTGTTCGGGATGAATGCATGGCAGATGAACCTAACGGGGGGGGGGGGGGTATACAACAGGGCGCGTGTTGACGCTATGTTGACACACGATTTTGACTTTTTTTTTTTTTTTTTTTAGAAATAACGACGCTGACACGAGTTTTGGCATATTTGGGCACGTTAACATGAGTACTGTTATTGACATAGGCAGTCATGTTGGTGTTGGAAGCGATGGCATAGGTGTTGATGCGGCCGCATAAAAAGTTAGGTAAACAGAATTAATGGTTCTGACATGCGTTCTGAATGGTGTGTACATGAGTGTTGGGAATGACAAGACTGCTTGTGTTGGCAGTAGTAGCAGTAACATGATCACATCTTATAATGGCTTCTAAGGTCATGACGCCAAAATTCATATTTCTGTTGGCACTTGTAGTGACAAGGTTGTAAAGTTACGATGTACATATGGTGCTTGCAGATTAATGATTCGATACCCTGCCTCCTCTGATGCTGATACTCCTGGATAATGGGTTATGGTGGTGGCAAGGGGGCTGACTTTGGTGGAAGCAAAGGCAGCACAATGGGCAGGCTTTTGACGGATAATGGGGGCAAGAGACACTGACTGAAAAACATTAAGGAAGGAGAAGAGAAAGAGAAGGATAAGAAGAAAAAGAGAGGAAGGAAAGAGAAAAGGGGAAAAGAAGTCGAGAGTGGGAGGAGGTGGTGGTGGAGGAAGAGGAGAATGAGGAGGAAGAGAAGCAGGAAGAGGAGGAGCAGGAGTAAGAGGAGGAGGAGGAGGAGGAGGAGGAGGAGGAGGAAGAGGAGCAGTTGGAGAAGGAAAAGATAAAGGAAGAGGAAGAGGAGCAGGAGGAGAAGGAAAA